TCCGTCAACATGAAGTATTCTGTTCCCAATAGATTTTGCTCATACTTGAACGCCTGGTCGCTCCCTGAAGTGGTCCTCGCGTGAATTGACGGTTGATTATCAATCGGAACTCGAGGTCGCTGCTGGCCCTCCACAGGAGAAGGAGAGAATACTGGATCGGACGAGCAGAAGAACAGGGTTGGTTCGATCAACCTTATCCTTCATTATAAAGGTAAAATCGAAAGTTCCCGAATAGTATTTAAAGCTCACGTGGAAAACTCCAGAACGGTCGACTTACGGCCAATCAAGTAATGCTGCCCTCGTGTTAGTTGGCACTTCACCCGGTTGGCTATCCGTTCACCCCAATCCAAGCGGGCGAGTTTGGCTCGCCCAACCAAGACTGGGCGAGTTGTGTTGTGTAATTTCAGCTTTGGGTTGACCTGCATGGGTGACACGAATGTGCGTCACCAATTCAACCTCTGTACTGTCAGGTTTCGGAGCGAATCAGGTGGTTGTTGTATTTGAGTGTTGGGGAGTTTCTGCTTTAGCTGCATCGACCAGTATGTTTAGAGGTAATTGCACTGCTAGTACTTGTTGTTGTAGTTGTCCGCCAGTCTCTACCTCTAACAGCTGCTTGGCACCTCTTACCCAAATTGCCGTCCCCACCTGGATACCGTAGATCACGTTACCACCTTTGTATAGCACATGGTTTATTTGGGTTAGTAGATGCGATAATCTGTCGCCAGAACTTGTTGGCCAGCATGAAAGGCTCGCTTTTGAGCACCGTGTCGAATGTTGTATTGACGTTCCATCTGAAAGTTGCGGGACAGTAATTGTTCCGTCCTGGGTCTGAGGTCATCATGCGGCACACGGATTTTCCTTTGAAACAGAGTTTCATCCGTGGATAGTGCGTTCGGTGTTTGTGATAAGTCAGAAGAAATGTGTCAAACATCTCCGCCAAGGCACCTTCATTTTTAGGAAGGCTGTTTCGTGTCTATTCACAAAGCGTTCTGTTTGCTCTTTTGATTGTGGGTGGAAAGGTGGAGATCTTACATGGACCATCGCGTTTCTGCGACAGAAGCCAACAATTTCAGAGGAAGTGGACTGAGTACCATTGTCTGAAACCAACGTATGAGCAACACCGAAACGAGAAAGTACCTGTCGAAGTGCAGAGACTTTTGCTCCTGCGATAGTTTTCACCATTGGTGTCACCTCAGACCATTTGCTGTGGGCATCGACAACGATGAGAAAATGATGACCGTCAATTGGACCCGCGCAATTGATGTGTACCCTCAAAAATGGTATCGTAGGTATTGGTCAGGATTGCAATTCCGTCTTCCTTAGCAGTGTAGAGACACCAGTACATCGGGGACAATTCTTCGTTAAATACTCGATCTGGGAATCCACATAGAACCAATACACATAGCTCCGTACCAACGATTTCATGCAATTCATTCCTGGGTGGCCAGTATGAAATTGTCGGCGGACTCTCTCTTGAAGAATGACAGGATTGACGATGCGATCTTAGAACAGTAGACAATTGTTGAAGACTGATAGTGCTTCCTTCCGTTGGTGGAATTGTTGAAGCTCCCGTGTTGTAACTCTATTAGGCCAGCCATTGGGGTGAAAAATTGATCAATTTTTGTAGGGTAGTATCATGACGAGTCGCTTCCTGCACCATTTCTAATGTTACTGGTAAGACACTGGAAACATCAGACACAACTTGATTTACTTGGGGTTCTACGGGTATTTGAGCAACTACCAAATCCTCTCTTTCTTGACGCTGTGTACCAATTAAACGAGATAACGCATCCGCCTGACCAATGTTGTGTGTTGGTTGATATTTCATGACGAAATCGTAACCAAGTTGAACCGTTGCCCAGCGTTGGAGACAGCTAGCCATGCAGACCGGAATGCCTTTTTTGATCCAAAGATTGCAACCAAGGGTTTGTGGTCCGTGAACCGCGTGAATTTTTGTCCATATAGCATTTTGTGAAATCGCTTGACTGCAAACATTATAGTCAAAGCTTCTTTCTCGATCTGCCCGTAGTTGCGTTCTGCTGGAGTGAGTGACCTGACTTCATGTGCCACAGCTTTCTCCGAACCATTGGGGGAAACGTGAGATATGACCGCTCCAATTCCATAATCTGGCGCGTCAGCAACAACCATGATCTCCAGCCCCTGGATTGATATGCGTTAGCAATAGGTCAGAACACACTCTTGACTTGACATCATTAAATGCGGTTTGACATTCAGAAAAACGCTAATGTGCGATCTTTTACTAGAAGCTCATTGAGCGGTCCTCCTAGCCGATGCATTTCGAACACAAAAGAGCTTTAATGACTGATAAAACCCAACAATGATCTGAGCTTCACGACATTTTCAAGACGAGGCATCTGTTTGATAACAGTCATGTTGGAAGGACCCGGACGACGGCCATACTTGTCGATGATGAAGCCAAGGTCTCTTACACACCTCATGCCAGTATTGTGCTTTTCTGTTTTCAAGTAGAACCCGTAGTCATTACCGCGGTTGAGAACTGACCAGTTTTTCCGTCAGCCCTTGATGGGTAGACCCTTTGCTTCTTATGTCGACAAATAAGCTGCGACCCCTGCTAACCCAGCTAACATCGTATCCATAATTTGTTGAAAAATCGCGGGAGCTGATTTGACACCAAATGGCAAACGGTTGCACTGGTAAAGATCTCGGTGCTTATTGATTGTCAACAACTCCTCTGAAGCATCTTCGACTTCAATAAATAAATAAATAAATATAGTAAATATAGCTTTGCAAAGTGAGCGCCACAACTGAGCTTCGCAAATAACTTTCCTGGGACTGGCAAAGAATACTGGTGCATTTTTAAAGCAGCATTCAGTCCCGTAGAGTAGTCAGCACAGATACGAACCGTTCCGTTCGTCATCTTGACGACAACAATAGGTGCTGCCCATGCTGAGTATTCCACAGGTTTGATGACGCCTGCTTGCTCAAAATGATCAAGTTTCGCATCAATAATCGGAACCGCGGCGTATGGTACCGGTCCTTTGGGTCGCAATACCGACTTGGCACTGTCCTTGAAAGCAAACCTTTGGTGCTTGTCCAAGTTCTGGTCCAAGTAGTTGCGAAATACGAACGGGAATTTTCTTCGTAGCTGCTCGATCAGCTTATTGTTTGTTTCATCCTCGTATGTCCAAGCTGGAGGTTATGGCCGACTTGACTCAGGGGAATGTCGAACAGGTGTAGCTTCTGAATCCAATCAAGTTCAAGCAGATTCAAATGTGACAGCTCCGTAATGTACACGATGCCGTTTCCCCGAGCAGTGTCAAAAGCCATCTCACACTGCAGCTCACCAATGGAATCAGCTTGACCTGAAGCATCAAATGCAACATGTGTCGTTCTGTTAATTGACGGAGCACCAATATACTGCCAAGTTTTTGGGGAGATAATTGTGATGTCCTAGGCTGTATCCAGCTGAAGACGTACTTGTTGCCCATTCAGGTGAACTTTGATATACTTTCTGCGAACCACATGTCCATCAGATTAGGCCGTTTGAACTGTAGTGCAGCTGCTGAATCTTTGGAGAACATTCGAATTCGGTCGCGGATGTCTAACAAGCTTGAACAGCAGTCTGGATCGGCCGAGCGTTTCCTTATGGCCCCTTCTATAACACTTTTGGCAAATATGTTTCAGGAATGAACATACTCGAACAAAATTCCACTCACCACATTTCCAACAGACTGTCGGGGGCTTGGGATTCTCTCTGGGCTTTCCATGGCCGGTTTAACTTGGAAGCGGTTTCTTTAAAATGGTTTCCAATGCACTAAGACTTGGGGTTGACTGTTGAGTCTCCAGCGTAAGCGTGTCATGCTTGAGGGTGTATTCTTTGGCATTCAGTAGTGATAGTCTGTAGAGTCGTTTGTGGGTCTTGTTAAAGTTTGCTCAGCTTCCTGGTGCGAATCTATGCATACCTTTGGGAATGTATTCCACAGATAAAAACTAGGCATTTGAACTGATCTGCCATGATGGTTTTAATGCAGATTTTTCGCACTCGCGATTGACGATGCCAGCGTAAGTGACGTAGTCGTCAGCGTACATCTCGGTGATTTCCAGGCATTGATATCGCTTGTTGAAAATGGATGACTGTTCTCCAAATATTTGGCCCAAACATTTGACAATCTCATCAAAAATGCAGTCTCTTGTGTTCTTGGCCAGCATAAAATTGACATACGTGCAGTGCCCTGCTGTCCCAACTTTCCTTAATAGCATTCGGACATTCCAATCTTTATCATGGTCTCCAAGTTCAACGCGGAACACATCTTCCTAACGCGTGAACCAGGATTCAAAGGTGAGGCCAGCATCAGGGTCGTACAACTATTCGATAATGCTGTTAGTGATGGCATCTACCGATGCAAACGGCTTGACGGTGATAGACTGGGAACCGGTAGGGATTGACAATTGGCGCGTAAAAGTTTCGATCAGCCTGAGTTGGGATGTCTCAAAGTGTGCTTGTTGCTGCAGCAGAATGGTCTTGTTCACATCAGCTGATATGGACATTTTGATTAGGGTTTATTCCGCCGGCAGCTGAAAAGTGGTCGTCCCTCGCCTGAATTAACGGTTGATTATCAATCGGAACTTGTGGTCACTGGCCGGATCCAACGAGTAGAGGAACGGGGTTGTATCAGCCAATGATATCATTCATTATAAAGGTAAAACCGAAAATCCTTGACTATTATTCGAAGTCAAATGGAACCAGCAGCACCTTTCCTCATGCTCGGTTACATCATTTCCACCACCAAACCAACGATTTGACCCTCGAAATTCGAACTGTCTTAGATCCAGCAAAGGTTGCAGCGCGCTGCGTATGCAACGAGTGTTTCGCTTGTATCCGCGGTCTCTTCTGAGCTCATTTCATAGGTTTCTCTCTCATGATCATGTATGTTTATCCCAACTTCCCATTTGTCGAAACTATTCTAACTCTACCCTTCTAAGCCTTTTTCGGTTATTTTTGCCGCATTATTCTTAAGGTTGGAGTAAACTTGGATAAACCGCCCGACCTACTGCATTTACTTCGGTCTTACTGGAGCATGTCGTCCGAGAACAGCGAGGCGCTTGATCGTGACCAACTCGCCATTCCCCGCGGCACAGAGTCGAAGTCCCGAAACATCTTAGTCCATGCCTCGCACGAATCCACATCCATCTCCTACAATATGCAAGCAGTCGTAAGTTGCTTTCTGCCGCTGCTCTTCTCAAACAGGTTTTTTCTCTTTTATTTTGTCTCCAATCCCTTGTTTTCTACTGCATCTTTTTCATGTGGATGTGTCATGAACTTGCCCACTTCGCATTGAAGGCACTAATTGATTGAATCCCTTTAATCATCTGTGCCTCCAGTGTATATTTCTTAGATCTGATGGGAATACCGTGTACCCGATGCTTACATCCGCCAGGTGGTTTTGCACAAGAAGTTCTTGTGCATCACTGAATCGGTTGTTGAAACTTAACCGCCTACTTTGGTTAGGTTATGTTCTCCGTATACCTGTCGACCTGCTTCCTCGACGTGCATTATGCTCCGCGACTGCACCATTTTGGGCGAAACTGCGTGGTGGCAGGTCCATGACATGGTAACAAAGTCGAAGAAATCGACAGAGTGATCTGGTCAGTCTTTTACGTGCAGTCTTCACTGGTGGGATCTACGAGACCTTCCACATTGGTTATTTGCGACCGCATCGGACATGGCACATTCGGCTTCTTGCGCCGATCTATTATTGTACCATCCCGATTAAACTCACTCACATTCTTTTTAGCTCCCTTTCTTTTATCTTCTCTACATTTTACCTCCTCATTCATCATTATTATCTACTGGTGATTGGAGTTGTGGCAGCTTCATCTGCCGCATTTCGTTATTATTTAACCGAGCTGCCTTCCCGTTTTACTCTATATCGCTCGAAAGTCTCGTAAGAGTTTTGTTCATGGTTACAGCGCTTGAACTATTATTGTGAGCTGCTCCGTTCATGTTGTTAAGCCACTTGTTGCGTTTCCCTTTATCCCTCGGCTTTTGAAAAGGATCACTTCTGTGAAGTTGAGCTTGTTTTTAGAAACTGAATTGCTTATTTTCATCATTACTCCAGTTGTCCCGATTCACTGCAATTCACTTTCGGTCATTTGCCATTGTGATAAGCGTTGCCCGTCATGGCCTGATGACTAATAGGACAGAAGTCACAACTAACGCCCCAATGGTCTCGGGTTCGAAGCCTGCTATCTCAACCTGTTGAGATCCTATAAGGTCGAAATGCGTCGTGGAGTGTAGCGTTTTCGGGCGTGAAACACCCAATTCCCATACACCTCAGCTACAGCCCTTTAGATGGAAATGACCAAGGTTCACTTCAATGCGAATCGCAACCCATATTGAAATTGCTTGTTGCCCTCTCTTAACTCAGCTGTAGGAGCGCTGGTTAGGTGCGGAGTTCGGAGTTAATGTCCCGTCGTTTTTGGATGCCATAAAGAAGTAAAAACATGTATTCCCATTGTTGTATTTTAATACTCCCACGAATAATCACGGAAGCACATGAAGAGAAACGTGATGCTGGTAAAACTTCTTTAGCTAGTCAACTTCAAAGTTCTATGCTCGATGATTTGTTGGGTGGAGGTATTTGAAGATTGGTCGATAAGGCTGGTGATGTCCGCTGACCAGATGTTAGCCTACTGGCAACTTGTGCTGGGCAAAATGCGTGATGGTCCTACACAGCTAATATTTCCAAATAAACCTCCCAATTAGTTGTTTTATGGTTCCCTTCACAACTTGGTTAATATATTGGCTTTTTACCAACTTCCCGTGTTATGTTTGTCCCGAACTACTTCACCCGATACTCTAGTATAGCAGTCGTCACCCGGCTGACAACCATGGAATGATTGACGGCCTTGATGCGCATATTGTACTCATTTTGCTTAAGTCTATTACTAAGTATAATAAAACTCACAAATATATCGTCTAAATGTTCAAGACATTGTCCGTACGGACTTCATCTACAGTCAACCAGATTATCCTTCTTTCTCGACGTGGGTTACCGAACGAGGACATGTGAACTGGCTTGCCGAACAACCTCCTCGTGGTGCCAGCTGGGTGGTTCGGGATTTTCCCGTTCCAGCAAATGGTTCGGCGGCAATGTTCCAGGACGTGGTGGGTTTTCGCCTGGCAAGCGTTCTCCCTATAAAAAGCCACATATGTCCGTTTAACAACACTGTGACGTGGCGGATGTGACTCCCCACTAAATAAAGTCACTGCCCTTGCTTCATTCTGGCGAAGCATTGTATTCCAGCAAATGTATGCTGTACTTCTGGGAGCATTGGGCCCCTGTTTAACAAAGGAACAAAGGGAAGGCGTATGAACTGAGCAATCAGTCACCGGCTCCCAATGGGCGCGATTCCCTGAATTCGCTCCGCTGCCTTGCGAGCAGGCTATTCAGCCAAAGGCTCGGGGTGGTGTCCCCTAAGTCAACACCCTACTTCGGCTTGGGCAACCGGGTAGTATCTCGCCCTCTGAGGAAACCATGGACATTGTTGTGTTGTGTTTTATTTTACTGTTTCTGTACCTGCGTTTAAATCCCGTGGTTTCTGATGGCATTATGTCTGTTAGCAGACTTTTGCAAATATATATATATATATATATATATATATATATATATATATCCTTACCAATGAATTCCTATTCCAAATCACCTCCGCTGGCTGCTGGCTTATTCGCCCTGTACCACACTGCACAGCATGCGGAGGAAGTAGCTTCAGACTCTGGGTTTTTAAGCATCGCCCTGTGCACAATGAAGATTGTGGACTCCAGTATAAAAATTGTTGAGATATACTTAACAGCAAATGCCTAAAGGCATTTGAATTGCGAAATCCTATTGCGAGTCGCCAGTCGGCTAGCTTCCCTCCTTTCATAAGGTACATATATTTGAACCACTCACGTTACCTGAACAAAACCTGTCGTTCTCCTTTTTCATGGTTTGTGTGTTACCCTTGATTCACTTTTCTGTGACTGTTTTGGTGCCTTCTGTCGTTGAAGTGTGGATCACAATACACCCTTTTGTTCTGAACTCCTTATACTGCGATTGACAATGCCGCGCGGTGGTCTGCGGAAAACCTTTATTTAGAATCACCATTACAATTAGAGTGCATTGGGTCGACTCCTCCTCCAGTTTCTCTTCGACTTGGTGAGTTGTGCCAAGTGAGTGTCCAAAATCTTCTGCAGTGGACATAGTGCTTTGGTGTCCGATTCATTTGAATAACTAAATAACTGTTTTATTTATTCTTGAGTAGCAGGATTTTAGTTGTAATCTTAAGATATTCATCCCAGTAGTTCGCATGCTACATAGTACAGCCTAGTCCGGAAAGCACCAGACGTGTTTCGTCCTTTTGGGGCTCCTCAGTGGTGCGCATTCCGTCGGTTCCCTACTGGAGATCGAACGTATGACCGCTAGAGGCAGATGCCAACTAGCCCGCAGCTTGAGGCATGGTGGACGTCGGCTAGGCTAAATAATTTACAAGTTAACTGGGATATAGTACCACCTATATTCCACTGTCATTGACAGTAGCTAGTCTGCGAGGTGATGACATCCTCTCGCTAGACGCTATATCCATAGCATTTGAAACTAGGAGAGGCAATTTATTTTTTATTACTCCTGAGTAGCAGGATTTTAGTTGTAATTTTTAAAGCTTAAGCTGCTGGCTAGTTGGCATCTGCCTCTAGCGGTCATGGGTTCGATTGCCAGTAGGGGACCGGTGGAATGCGCACCACTGACAGGCTCCAACTGGGTGAAACGCTCCTGGTGCTTTTCCGAACTATTCTGTGCTATGTAGATTGTGAACTACCGGGATGAATACCTTAAAAATGTTTTATTCTCGAAAATGCGAGACGCACCAATACAAAGACATGCCCATACAAACACTATGGACTGGGAAATATAAACAACGGTACAAGTCTATCATTGGCATGTGGATCCATGTGATAAGTGCATGTGAATGTACGCAAGTAAGAATGTGTGTAGCTGTGTTGCTGGAATTTGTAAATCCGACGTCGTATTAGTGATTGCTTTCCTTCAGGTCGTCAGCCTGATAAGGGGTAAAATGTATACTTCGTATTGGATGCCTGACCTCAGTGGATTGTTTAAGATCATCCAGGTACGTAAGAGGCAGTGAATTTAGTTAATGGGGAGTCACATTCGTCAGGTCATAGTGTTGTTAAACAGACATGTGTGGCTTTTCACAGAGTATGCGTGCCAGGCGTAAACCCACCACTTCCTGGAACACTTCTGCCGAACCATTCGCCTTGATGTCATTAAGCCGACCCACCCAGCTAGCACCACGTGGAGGTTTTTCGGTGAGCCAGCCCTCAAGCAGTACTACAAGAAGCGCCGAAAGCCTCGCCCTGCAAGCCGCAGTTGATGTGTAACCAATGTTCACACTCATCCGACCTCCATCGCTCGCAGTAACTCGTTTTATCTTCGACGATGCATGTAGCTTTCCACAGCTCTTTATTGACTTATCCGGAGGTGATCTTACTCTGGTTTACCTCTCTGGATTGGGAGTACACGTGACATAGCCTGATTCCTGTTACTCTGTGGATCAAGTTTACGACGTCTACATGCACAAGAGATTAAAATTGGATGAATTCTGACTTCAGGCGCTTGCGCAGCATCCAGCGCATTCACTCGTTCAACTTGTGCCGGTTGAAACCCCACATAACATGACATAATAACTAGGAACTCCATTCGCTAATACTGTGTACATATCTTGTATGTTTTTCCTCCTCTTCTCTGCAGTTGGTTCTTGTATTTTTTGTACCGCGCACTGACCACCCTTCTCCGCGTTTGTCCTTCAACTCGTTAAGCGAATCCAGTAGGTTACCTAGCTGTGCATTTCGAATAAATCGCCCGAAAGATTTGGTCTGGCTGGTTGTTACTGTCCTTCTAATTGAGGCCCACAGCGGTATGAGACTGTATCCGACACAATGTGATTGCTAACTCCCCTATCTAGTGGCCTTCTGCGTCAAACCATGGGAAGCCATGTACACCTCTTGTTAACGAACCATTTGACCATATATGCTCCACCCAAACTCAATACGCTACTTCCATGTGGCAGCTTTCCACAGGCTATTTCCCTTTGCCGCACCCCATTTGTTTGCCTATGTTGATTGGCTCCGTCTCCGATCGTTGGTCCACCGTAATGCGCCCAACTCACACCTACCGTGTCCGAGATCACATTGAACATGCTTCATTTTGCATTTTCCATCTGGTCCTTGCGATCACACGGATGGATTTCAGTCCACTCACCTGGTGTTGAATTCAATTGGTCAATCGCCTTCGTGCCATGTGTCATCAGCTTCGGTTTGTTAGCGCGCAGCGTTGTCCGGACCAATCCGATTCGCCCTTATCTGCAGTCACTCTGTCAATCGCACGTGCCAGGCCGAATAAGTTCTTCTCGGCAATTCACTTCAAGCAAATACAACTAGAAAAGTAAGGCGAACGTGACAGGTAAGTGAACGCTGAGGATGCGACTGGCTAACTCAACGAAGTCGATCGATAATTCACTCGATACAATCAGACCTCATGGGGCGCGCGAAGACGCACACACGCACAAAGCACAGCCGCGTTACTTCAAACAGTACTGCACAACAGGCTTTAGTCCAGCGTTGCCTTCTCAAGCACATATGCATTGACGGCGACTCGATTCTGGGGCAGACTGCTAACAGATCATTATCACTACTTCATAACATTGTAGGATCCACTGTTTTAGCTACGGGGCCCCCTTTATCTGTTTAGGTTACAGCATACAGTCTCAGTCTGGAGCACAAACTTCCATCATTACGATCACTGGCATTGTATCTTAAGCAGCCGAACGTGATGTTGTTTATTTGGAACAATGCATCCCGTAGCTGAACCTGCGATCAGGTTACGGCGCTCGGACCCGGGATCGGCGTGGGGGAGGATGTGCACCCTTACCACTGCGCCACCGGACTTCGGTGGGGACGCTTGTCACCACAGAGTTGAGTTATCTGGGGTATTCATTATGCGATCATGGGAGCGATCAGCACTCAAAATGTGTTCTTATTTCATCACCCTTCATCATACCACTAATGTTTCTGCTAATCTGTCTGCCTTTTCTACCCTGACCTAATTTGCTCCCCCTACTGTTTTGTAACTTTGCTCTGCTTTTCTCTGTTCTAACTAGTGCTCCATAGCTAGGGAGCGTGTTTGTTCAATTTGCTTCCACCTCTCAACCCGAATTTTTCGCATCCATGCAGCTGGATGAAGTTTTCACACTGAAATCGTCTGTCTCTCAATGGGAATCCAAGTATAAAGAGCTCGCCGCTCAGGCTCAATGCTGGCGTAATCAGCTTGTCAGCTCCAGACGGTAAGTTGTCTTCCACCTTTTTTATTTTCACTCCATACTGTTCCATGCCATCGCTCCTGGTGGGTTTTGCTTTCCCCCTCGATCTACGGTCGTTCAATTGTTACCTAATGGGGTTTGACTTAATTCATCTTTATTCGGCAAATTCTGCATTCAGCAGGTGGTGCTTCGTAGTTTTAGTTATGAACACTTAGATACTGCTTACTGCAAACGGGGTGCATATATTGACTGGATCTAACTTTATTGGGAGTTCATCGCTGCGGTTTACAAGTCGGATAATCGACCACAATTTAGGAAAAGCAACCGACGACCGTTTCTTCCGATTAGGCCTCATCAATTATGAGCATCCTCGACTTCACCAGCACCCGAATCCATGACCACTAGCGGCTTGCGCTACTGGCCGCAAACTTATGTTACGGAGCCACGGGGACAGCTTCGGAACCGAATGACTTATAAGCTAATCGCGATAAGGCGTGACCCATCTCCAATGGCCACACCGGTTTCGTATGTTGCGGAATGCAAGGCTAGCATCTAGAGTCACGGCTTCCTACCACAGCAGCTTTGGTATGTGTTGCATTATCTATTAACGGCATCAGCAGTACGCCGGTACGTAATACCGACGCTTCGCTGCCGCGCAACCACTATCGGTCGCACGTTGGCTGAGGATATTGCGAGGGTCGCTCTGCCCCTACGCAGACTCGAACCGGCGCCGCCGAGTTGCAAGGCAAATTCGTTACCTTTAGGCTACCGGCCGGCTTAAAGCAGATCAAATGATCTGGCGCTCATTGTAGATACTAGTAAGATCGTAGAACCCGCCCACAGAGGCTACTCGGGTTGTAATCGGGGACCGCAATATATGAACGTGACACGGTTTCAAGACGCCTATCGTCTGGACACGGTTTGCTACCCCACCGGCGGTAACTGGACTGAATCACCCCGGAAGCTGATGAAATCAGTTCGTTCTCATCACACGGGTTGCTACCTGACCTGCGGTACCACGGTTAAGTCACGCGGGAGGCTGATGAGCTCAGGCCGTCAGCATGAAACCGGTTGCTTCGGGCCAGGGCGCGACAACAGCTGGCCAGCGCGGACCTCAAGCAGGTTTGAAATATGTCCAGGGCAAGTGGCTTGAGTCACCTCAGGAACCTACAACAGGAAATGCTATATCGTAACCTGTAAAATAAACCGTGATTTGTACCTAATATACTTCAGTCTAGCAGGTTTCGGTGTTCTCTTTTGTCCCCGGCTGTGTTGGCGTCACAGAGAGCAGAGGGAAAGCAGCGTGACAACAGGTTGGCGCTTGAGAACCTTAATAATGTATGCATATCCATATTGTATGTTATTGGCTAGCCATGATATGTTTTGGTGCAAAAGTTTAATCTATCGGTCTTGCTGTGTTTCAAAACTGCTCTATGTCTCTGCGGTTGTCTGATGACTCTAAGCTAAATTGTTGCTGACACTAATGTATGAGTTCGTCGAGTGTCCCTAGCCTTAGTCAGTGTAGATGTTTCTCACTAACACAGGAATTTCGAGCCCCGGCGGTATTTGACCGTCATCACCTGTTGGGTTAAGGCAGCTGATGGACGTTGCACACTGCGGCCTTCGTCACACGGAATCTTATCATTGAATATAAACGTGTCTGCTATGTGGTGTTGTCCGGTTAACAGGATCCTCAGCGCTGTTGAGCTGCCGTCACTTTTCCTTACGGTACCAGTCATTGCTGCGTTTACACCGCACCTGATTATTGAGGGCACAAGTACTTGCGACAGGTTCTCAGGATGGTCACAACGTCTTCTACGTGAAAACTGGTCTCATTTCTGCTCAAAACTGGTGACTATATTAGAAGCTGTGGGACTGAGCCTTTAGAGCCCATAAGCTAATGATGCACCGTCTCTGTTTGCCTGGCGTTGAATGACCACGTCTTGTCGACGGTTTGCGGAGCTCCCCTTAGGAGGACTCATACGGTCACTGTTTCGGCAGCCGCTGTGCCACTGATATACTTTGTAGTCGGGTGTTAGATCAGCACGTTGCAATTCCGTTATTCGGCCGGACGAATGAATGGATTTGTCTTGGCGACGGAAACGTTTATATTATTTTAACCACGGATGGCTCTTCAGCCATTGCGTCACTTCATGTGATGCATGATATATGGCAGCGAATGGTCAACGAAGCACCGTTTCCTCTGATCAGATTCTTCCGTCTGTCGGTGACATTATCAGTGACATTAAATTTCACACTGGGTGGACCTAGCCCGATACGCGCGGACAAAGCTCTTACAATCTTGATGCTAGCAAGTAGATTGTCTCGATTGTCCGGACAGGATAACGCCATCAACTTTAGCCATTAACACATAGGTCCTCTAATTAATCCCACCTGAATTGTCTTATAGTGTGGAGCGCTCCACTGATGGCCGTGGAAAATAAAAAATAAAATAGAAGAAACCTCCTTGTCCCACGTCACTCTCAGACTCGATGTAGACATTGTCTATCCTGTGAACAGTGGTTTCTAGCCTACTCGCATATAATCAGTTAGATGCGAAGTCATACCTAAGCTGCCGGAAGCAGCGAATTGACATCAAAAGCCTTGGGACTACTCACCTTTGTAGGTGATAGTTCGCAGATGTAGTCGGCTCCTCAAACTAACCGTCCTTTCAGACAACTGCAAATCTGTTATCGATCTTGAGCGAACGACAACAGCGAATGACTAGTCAATTTCTGAAAACAAGTTACGGTAGGCCTGGCACCAAACTAGGCAAGGGACAGGCATACAGTGGAGGAAACCTGCGGACTGATTACCAGGCGAACGTCCACGATCTATGGTAGTGTCGCGATCCACGTCGAATGCTCAGCCTCCGACATACTTTAACTACCAGTCTGTCTTACGATGATGGGTGGAGCCTCTGGTACTGGTACTGCATTTCCGTTTGAGCAGTATGTCGGTTGTCAACATTTGGTGACTGCACGAGATCGGAAAACTTGTTGCAAGTGTTAAAGATGGAGTTTGCTGTGCTTTTTTGATTGGGGTTCCGTATATGATACGCCGGAGAGCATCGAGCACAATCGTGACTGCGTGCTTTCGTCTGGTGTTTTGCATCCGTAATATGTCTGTGTCAGAGGTGTTGTCGCTTCTGCTAGTTAAACGCACAATATTTGCCAGCACTGTGCGTGGAAAGCCTCTTGCTTTTTGGTGTGAGCCTTGAAACAAGCATTTTTCTGGCCTTCAAATTTGTTGTCTGTCCGCAGTGGCAGCTAGTGAGCCATTAGACCTGCACGGAATGTGGCTGCTGGGCGCTAGTTATATTCGACAGCTGCAATGCTGAGTAGTTGTTGTCACGAAAAATGGAATTATTGTTTTGATATTCACCATTACTTAGGGTGATTGGGCGACGATGAAGATCCTACGATAACGAAGGTGTCTAATGCCTGTTTACACACTGTGGTCTTCACTGATACCTCCCACAGGATCATGTGTTTCCAGCCTAATGGGGACCGTCGAAGCAGTGAATCTGCACGATAGTAAAATGGGGGCCGCGTAGACTCCTTTTGAGGTCCACCAATATGGCTGTACCTCTAGTCTCCTGTGTGATACTGTTTGTGTTTATAGTCGCTTATTGACGTTGTGGGAAGATCGCCGGCACATGGAAGTATGGGGCTTTAGAAGGAGTTCTGGAAGAGCGGAATCCCTGTACCGATAAAGTCATGCTACTCCTGTGTGGGTCTGCCCAAATATGTCCTAGGTGTATTAATGGGAGCGTGGATTTGTAGAATTGAATGTGGAAAGTGAACACTTCGATGTCTTGTGAGATTGTCTGTCGTTCCACATGTTCGCGAATATTGACTGCATGGAGATGGAAAGAACCGGTTTCCATGAACCGGTTACGAATACGCTGACGCTCTTTTCTGATGTGATGCTCATAATTACCGCATTTTCAGTCGCTTTACAATCCTGATGCATTTATTCGAGATGAGTCAGGTAGGTTTTTCGCTTTCCCCTGATCGTGGTTGGTTTGTTGAGTACGGTGCATGTAGACTGCACGGAGAATGTACGAATGAATGTTGTATTGGACCTAGCCGATGATGTGGGTGTGGGTCTGGGTGTTGGCTAGTGCTGTATAGTGGGTCTTACTTGTTAGATGTAAATATATGGGGATGCCTGTTGTCTGTGGATCTGTGAGACACGGAGGTGATTAATAGAGACTGAGAACTCCCCGTCGTTTTGGCCGATTCATCACTATGTCACTAATCCTGTTTCATTGGCTGGCTAAAACACATCAACTCTCTTCTCATTTTTTGCGTGAAATTCGGACGGTTAACATTGATTATTCTGTGTTGATTCTGTTACTCCTAGTTGAGTACGGATACACATCCTGCTTTTTTCTGTTGCTTTCTTGATACAACGTTTGGCGTCGCGAGCCCAAAGATGAACTTTCCATTCAGCCCCCATCTCCATTTTGGACTGCTTGCGGTAGCAGACCAACAACAGATACCTGGATCCGTTTGCGAACCTCCTTCCAAAAATACTTGGATTTAATCAACGCTTTCCATGCTGCCCTTAGTGAGAGAAACAGATTGAAGCTGTTTCGATATTTACTCAGAGATGATGGGCAGCGGCAGTTTAGTGATTTAGGCCCTCAGGGATGTAAATCCGTTAAAGATGCTTTCACTGCTCTCGATCGTACATGGGGTTACCAAATGAATGTGCTTACTACAAGATACGTTTTCTCCCGTAGGCATCAGAAAACAGGTGAACCCTTGCACAATTTCATCGCTCGGTTAAGTCGCGCATTACAACCGTGTGATTATTCGTCTATTCCCCAGGAAAAGGTCGAAGGCTGTATGCTGACACGGCAACTGATTTCTGGGATCGCTGACAATTGTATACATGAGGCGCGGTTGCAGGAAGAGGCGTGCACTTTAACCTGGGATCGAGCTTGCGAGTCAGCCAGAATGAAAACTTAAATTTCACTACAATCGAAACAGTTCTATTCAACCAACTCGGCTGAG